CAATACCTTGCCAGATTCAGGAATATTGTAGGCAGCATAATCCAGCATGATCCTCTGATTCTTCTGTTGCAGCTAAATCTCCAGGACCAGACCCTGCTGACCGAGATCCACCAGCTCCAGGAAGAAGTTGGCTTTGGTGACCCCTCATTCTAACGTCACCCCATGTCTTGTTAGGGAACTCCGCACACCTCGGAGCATCCATTGGAACTGAACAGACGTTTGTTGTTCACCGTAATAACATAATGAGACATTTTGCTGTGAAGACCACCAAAGGCCCTGAAGTAGACGTTCCTAAAGTGGGCTTCCGCTACAACTAAAATCAAATTCTTGCTTTGGACCACTTGCACCTCTAACACATGGCAACCCAGTTCAGAAGATGCTGACAGGCTCAGTCTCCCCCATCTTCCTATGTTCCTAAGAAACAGAATGAGACATTTCTGTGCCTGTGTTCTCAGCTCCGCCCACCACTGTCCCAAGGAGGTCTCTCTTTAAATGTTGAATCTATCAGTTTTTTTACATGACAGAGAAGACATCTGGAGGAGAAAAGCTGGCCATACACGTATAGATTTTTATTTCAAGAATATTCACTTTATTCTCCCATCAACAAAGACAGAGTTGATGGGGGAATCCCTCCTGCAGAGCCATTGGGGGAGATTTACTAAAACTGGAGCACTCTGACTGGTGCAGCTGTGAATAGGAGCCAATCAGCTTCTAACTTCAGCTTGTTCAATGAAGCTTTGACAAGAAAACCTGGAGGCTGATTGGTTTCTATGCAGAGCTGCACCAGCATTTGCACCGTGCAGTTTTAGTAAATGACCCCCATAGTGTTCTCCAGTGGGGGAAGCCCTACCTGCTGGGAGAACGCAGCGCTCATAGGTTGCTACGGGCAACACAGCCAGTTTTTTGCTTTTGGACCCTTTTCTAACTGAGGTCCTTAATATAATAAAGCAGCTGTTTGTTATTCTGATGAGCAATAAATAAACTATCGATAAAGCACTTATGTCTGGCTCTGATATGTAACGATCAATTATTTATAAAGCACCAACATATACCATAGTGCTGTACATAATCTGTCTGTTCCTCCTATTGGTCTTGCGATGCTTTTCTCAAAAGATCAGAAAGGATAAAATATAATAAAGAGCTAATACATGTGTAAGATAAACCGAAGCTGGCCATACATTATACAACTTTCCTTTAGATTTACCAAAACCATCTAATCTGAGGTCATTCCTAACACTTCCAATGTGTACGCAGTCAGGCCGGCCCTCGCACTGCACAGCTGAAGGTAAATCTAAAGGAAATTGTATAATGGATGCTCAGCTTTAGGCCTCGTGTACACTGCAGCTGATCAACTGACGTTCAGGAGCTTTTCTGCGTTTTTTGTTCAGCAGCCCCTGAACTCCCCCTAATGTTCTCCTATGTGTCCGTGTACACATCGTCCTTTACAGGCAGCTGAGTTTACAGTCATTTTTTTGAAAGCACCAAACTTGTGTTCAGGAGTAGATTTTATCAGCGTTTCAAACGCCAAATACTTGTAAACGCAGCTAACCGCGTTTATAAGCATTTGTGTTTAGATGCAGTTTTTAACTGTTCCATGTCCAGATGCTGTCCGGAGCCTTTTTTCATCATCAGACATGCATGCAAAGTGTTTCCCATGTATTTAAATGGACCCGGTACACCAGCGCAGTCAGTTCCAGGTTTCGCGTGACGGAAACAATGGTAGAACGCGCCGCATTATGCTCATGATGGGATCCATAGTGAATACAACCAGAAAAGACAGGTCATCTCCACACATACTGCTCTCTCTGCTTCTACTCTCCCTATTCCTCTCAAAATGTCTGAAATAGTTAATTGTTTAGTATTTTTCAGTGCATTCGGGAAGGTCTCCTGATATTATCTTTAAAAAATGCTTCTAAACGCAAACGCACATAAACGCGGTATGCAAATGCGGCTAAACTGACATTTTTTGAGCTACGTTTTCCAGCAGTCAGTTTCCATCGTTCTGAAGAGTTTTCCAAACGCCCCGTGTACATGGAGCCTAAGACTCATTTGGAAAACTCATTTTGCAGCGATCAGCGACATATAGCGGGACTGCAGTGGCCATTCTGATACTGGGGGGGAACTGACTTGGTGTCACTGACATCCCCAGTGACACCAATACAGTGATCAGTGCTAATAAAAAGCACTGACACTGTACTAATGGCACTGGGCAGGAAGGGGTTAACATCTGGGGCTATCAAAGGGTTAACTGCGTGCTGTTTTACTGTGTGCTGCATGTGTGCTTTCAACTGTAAGCACACTGTTTTGGATGTCAGTGCGGTGTATGGGGTGGGGTGTCGGTTCTGTGTACGGGGTGGGGTGTCAGTGTTATGTACGGGGTGGGGTGTCGGTGCTGTGTACAGGGTGGGGTGTCGGTGCTGTGTGTGGTGTCAGTGCTGTGCACAGGGCGGGGTGTCGGTGCTGTGTGTGGTGTCAGTGCTGTGCACGGGGTTGGGAGTCGGTGCTGTGTGTGGTGTCAGTGCTGTGTATGGTGTGAGGTGTCAGTGCTGTGTAGGGGGATGAGATGTCAGTGCTGTGTAGGGGGTGAGGTGTCTGTGCTGTGTACGGGGTGGGGTGTCTGTGCTGTGTATGGGGTGGGGTGTCAGTGCTGTGTACGGGGTGGGATGTCAGTGCTGTGCACAGTGTGAGGTGTCGGTGCTGTGTAGGGGGTAAGGTGTCGGTGCTGTGTAGGGAGTGAGGTGTTGGTGCTGTGCAGGGGATGGGATGTCAGTGCTGTGCAGGGGATGAGATGTCAGTGCTGTGTAGGTGGTGAGGTGTCAGTGCTGTGTAGGGGGTGGGATTTCAGTGCTGTGTAGGGGGTGGGATATCAGTGCTGTGTAGGGAGTGAGATCAGTACTGTGTAGGGTGGGATGTCGTTGCTGTGTAGGGGATGAAATGTTAGTGCTGTGTAGGGGGTGGGATTTCAGTGCTGTGTAGGGAGTGAGATCAGTACTGTGCAAGGTGGGATGTCGGTGCTGTGTAGGGGGTGGGATGTCAGTGCTGTCTGGTGGTGAGGTGTCAGTGCTGTGTAGGGATGATGTGTCTGTGCTGTGTATGGTGGGGGATGTCAGTGCTGTGTAGGGGGTGAGGTGTCTGTGCTGTGTATGGTGGGGGATGTCAGTGCTGTGTACGGGGTGGGATATCAGTGCTGTGTAGGGGGTGAGATCAATACTGTGTAGGGTGGGATGTCAGTGCTGTGTATGGTGGGGGATATCAGTGCTGTGTAGGGGGTGAGGTGTCAGTGCTGTGTATGGGGTGGGGGATATCAGTACTGTGTAGGGAGTGAGATCAGTACTGTGCAGGGTGGCATGTCTGTGCTGTGTACGGTGGGGGAAATCAGTGCTGTGTAAGGTGGGGGAAATCAGTGCTGTGGACGGTGGGGATGTCAGTGCTGTGGACGGTGGGGATGTCAGTGCTGTGGACGGTGGGGGATGTCAGTGCTGTGGACGGTGGGGCGGTGGGGGGTGTCAGTGCTGTGGACGGTGGGGGGTGTCAGTGCTGTGGACGGTGGGGGGTGTCAGTGCTGTGGACGGTGGGGGGTGTCAGTGCTGTGGACGGTGGGGGGTGTCTGTGCTGTGGACGGTGGGGGGTGTCTGTGCTGTGGACGGTGGGGCGGTGGGGGGTGTCAGTGCTGTGGACGGTGGGGGGTGTCAGTGCTGTGGACGGTGGGGGGTGTCAGTGCTGTGGACGGTGGGGGGTGTCTGTGCTGTGGACGGTGGGGGGTGTCTGTGCTGTGGACGGGGTGAGGTGTCTGTGCTGTGTATGGTGGGGGATGTCGGTGCTGTGTAGGGGTGAGGTGTCAGTGTTGTGTACAGTCTATCAGTGTGATCTCTACCCTATGGGCGGGGATAGGAGAAATCAGCCAGTAGAACTCCGGGGGGGCGTGGTCATGCATCATAGCTCCTCCGTTGCTCGGTTACAGATTCTCAGCGTCCATGAGATTATCATCCCGCGCCCGGGGCAGAGGAGTGACGTCACCGACACAGAGGCGGCTGTCCGGGCGGGAGGACTGAGTTGCGGACTGCAGAGATGGCTGGAGGTGAGCAACTGTATACTGAGTGTGGCCCTAACGTGAGGGGCCCGTATCAGTGCTGGGTGTATGATAACGGAGGGATCGGTGCCGGGTGTATGATAACGGAGGGGATCGGTGTCGGGTGTATGATAACGGAGGGGATCGGTGCCGGGTGTATGATAACGGAGGGGATCGGTGCCGGGTGTATGATAACGGAGGGGATCGGTGCCGGGTGTACGATAACGGAAGGATCGGTGCCGGGCGTACGATAACTGAGGGGGTCTTCGCCGGGCTTACGATAACGGAGGGGGTCTTCGCCGGGCTTACGATAACGGAGGGGGTCTTCGCCGGGCTTACGATAACTGAGGGGGGTCTTCGCCGGGCTTACGATAACTGAGGGGGTCTTCGCCGGGCTTACGATAACTGAGGGGGTCTTCGCCGGGCGTACGATAACTGAGGGGGTCTTCGCCGGGCGTACGATAACTGAGGGGGTCTTCGCCGGGCGTACGACAACGGAGGGGTCGGCTCAGGGCGTACGACAACGGAGGGGGTCTTCGCCGGACGTACGACAACGGAGGGGGGGTCGGCGCCGGGCGTATAGTTAATTGAAGATGTCGGTTTCTGATGTAGAAGTAAGTGGGGGCCCATGGTGTGTATGTGAGGGCCCATGGTGTGTATGTGGGGGCCCATGGTGTGTATGTGGGGGCCCATGGTGTGTATGTGGGGGCCCATGGTGTGTCTGTGAACAATGAGCAAAGTGCAGCCTTTTTGCATGACAGATAAAGTTGATCTGATGCATTGGCCCTTTAGCAGCCAATCAGAATCCATCAAAATTGTTACTTCATCTTTGATATCCGCATTCCTCTCTCTGCACTCCCGTTGTTACATCCTCCATTGTGTGTCCTGTTCATGACATCATCATCACACCTCTCTTGTCTCCCGTCCCCCCAGTCTGGCAGCATCCATTTGTCAACATCTTCAAGCATGTTCGTCTGGAAGAATGGAAGAGATCGACCAAGGACGGGGATGTCACCAGTGTCATGGTAATCTTCCTGGCTGTCCTAGCTTGGCCACCGTATGGAAGGGGGTTTATGAGCTCTATGAATAAGAGCAGACAGGGACATCTCAGAACATAATGGGGTTTATTTACTAAAGCTGGAGAGTCCAAAATCAGACTCCCTTCTGCATAGAAACCAATCAGCTTCTAACCTCAGCTTGTTCAATGAAGCTTTGGCAATGAAACCTGGAAGCTGATTGGTTTCTATGCAGAAGGGAGTCTGATTTTGGACTCTCCAGCTTTAGTAAATAAACCCCAATGTGTCCGCACACCACCTTTGCCTGCATTTTGTTGTCCTTGTGTGAACTCCATATGAATACAGTTCAGGGGAAGGATATAATCTTACCTTTTAAGGGTTGCCCACTGAAAAATACTTACATTTTGGATGGATGCTGAGAGTAAAACCAACAAACTGTGTCGTAGAATCTCTGTGCTGGAACCCTCCTGGACACATTCCATGTTGTATTTTTACATTTGTTTTATATAAGGGGAATAGAACCAGAGGAGTGACAACACATAAAAATGTTGAGCAGGAACACCAAGGGGGAGGCAATGACTTGTAAGCCAGAGTTGACTGTGCCCATCAAATTATTATTATTATTATACAGGATTTATATCCCGCCAACAGTTTGCTCAGCACTTTACAATATAACGGGAGACAATACAGCAACAATACAGTTCAATACAAGAGGGTTAGGAGGGCCCTGATCCTGGGAGCTTACAATCTAAGAGGGAGGGGCTGGTGGTACGAAAGGTAGTAACTGTGTGGGATGGACTGATAGGAGGAATAGAAGATTCCATTATTAGCTGAATCCAGGATAGACTTCCCTGAAGAGATAGGTTTTCAGAGATCGCTTAAAAGTGGGCAGAGTAGGTGATATTCGGATAGATTGGGGTAGAGAGTTCCAGAGGATGGGGGAGGCTCTGGAGAAGTCGTGGAGACAAGCATGGGAGAAAGAGACAAGGGAGGTAGAGAGCAGGAGGTCGTGCAAGGAGCGGAGAGGATGGTTTGGGTGATATTTGGAGACAAGATCGGTGATGTAATTTGGGGCAGAGTTATAAATGGCTTTATATGTTATTGTGAATGTTTTGAATTTTATTCATTGGGCAATGGGAAGCCAGTGGAGGGATTGGCAGAGAGGGATGGAGGACACTGAATGGGAGCCAGTGGAGGGATTGGCAGAGAGGGATGGAGGATACTGAATGGGGGCCAGTGGAGGGATTGGCAGAGGGGGATGGAGGACACTGAGTGGAAGCCAGTGGAGGGATTGGCAGAGAGGGATGGAGGACACTGAATGGAGGCCAGTGGAGGGATTGGCAGAGAGGGATGGAGGCCAGTGGAGGGATTGGCAGAGAGGGATGGCTGATACGGAACGGTTAGTAAGGAGGATGAGTCTGGCAGCAGCATTCATGATAGACTGAAGAGGGGATAGCCTGCGATGAGGTCGGCCAATGAGGAGGGAGTTACAATAGTCAAGGCGAGAGATAACAAGGGAGGGAATAAGTTGCTTAGTGGTTTCCGAGGCTAGGAACGGGCATTTCTTGGAGATGTTGCGGAGGTTGGAGATGTTGCGGAGGTTGGAGATGTTGCGGAGGTTGGAGATGTTGCGGAGGTTGGAGATGTTGCGGAGGTGAAGTCTACAAGATTTGGACAGTGATTGGATTTGGGGCTGGAAGGACAGATGGGAGTCCAGGATTGCACCTAGTACCCTGGCATGAGGGGAGGAACTGATGGTTGTATTATTGATCTTGATGCCACCTACATGGGCTGAAAACTGTAGAGGTGAGTAGGAGTACCCAACCATCCAGCTGGAGAGAGGAACCGAGCAGAAAATATGGCAGGGAGATCTTCATTTTGAGAGTATGCAGGACATCTATGAAGCCAGTCAGGCCACCACAGTCCATTTTCAACTAAGAAATGACTTCTGGGCGGGTCGGCTATCTAAATGGTCCCAGAACTACAAAAGTGTTAAAGGAGTCTACGTCTTTTGATTGATTTTCTTTTCTAAATGATTGTTCTTTTCTCAGCAATAAGTTTGTTATCCTTATTTTATTTCCAGGATAAAAATGTGAAGTGTACAGTATACAAGATTCGGGGCTCAATCCCTGCAGGAAACTACATCCTGCTCCCCAAAACCAGTTCCCAGAGCCTGGGCCTGACAGGGCGCTACCTGTACGTGCTGTTCAGACCGTTACCTGGAAAACACTTTGTGGTGCATGTAGATGTGAGCGCAGAGGTAAGACCTGATCTGTGACATGGTTCAGGACCCCGAAAACAGATGATAATCTTGGGGGGAGGTCACACACACTAATCCTATTTCCCAGAATATAAGAGAGAGGAAAAAAAACTTCCAATCTATAATCTGAGTTGGAGACCTTTTGGCCTTTCCTGAAAAGAAATGCTGATTTCACGCTGCTAGAAAAAAAGCAAATAATGCTGAGTTAGCGGGTTGATTTACTAAAACTGGAGAGTTCACATTCTGGTGCAGCTGTGCATGGGAGCCAATCGGCTTCTAGCTTCAGCTTGTTCAACTAAGCTTTGCCAATAAAACCTGGAAGCGTCTACTAGTAATGGTGGAGATCAGCGACTTGTAACGGGACATTCTGACACTGGGGGGGGGGAACTGACTTGGTGTCACTGACATCCCCAGTGACACCAAGACAGTGATTCGTGCTAAAAATAAAAAAAAGCACTGACACTGTACTAATGGCACTGGGTAGGAAGGGGTTAACATAAGGGGAGATCAAAGGGTTAACTGTGTGCAGGGAGTGTTTTACTAGGGGGCAGTGTGTTGTGCTTCACTGTAAGCACACTGCTCTGGGTGGCAGTGGGATCCTATGTCACACCAGTGTGCACTGAGCCTAAATGTTGATGTGTAGGGGATATATTAGTATTATTATTATTAATAATAAATGAAGGCCTTACAGTTGAAGGAGCTATTTGGAGGAGTGTCAGAACATCAGTCCAGCCGAGTTCCTTGCCCCTTACCCTCTGAATCTCTGTCATTAGTGTGTCTCTTCAGAACTTAACTGATACCTAACCCCATAAACCTTAGGGTTACATTTATAAAGCAGCGAATGTTACTTTGTCAAACATTCAAAGTAGGTGAATCTTCCTGCTGCACATGTTTGTTTGTTTGTTTTTTGTAAGGGATTGATTTATCTGCATGTCACACTCACTTTTTGTTTATTACGTTTCTTTTCCTTTTGGGAAATGGGAGTCAATAAGAAGGTATTAATGACTGTATGTATATAACATTGGGAACATCTCATAATTGTTTGATATTATTTTTTTTTTGGTGACTCCAGGAAGGCCAGACCATCCGGATCTCCTTCTCCAATCTTTTCAAGGAATTTAAATCCACAGCTACATGGCTACAGTTCCCGTTTGTGTGTGGCGCTATAAAGGGGTCAGTCTATGACAGCACTATGCAGGCAGCACGTGATGGTGAGAGAACTAGCAATATGGATGTTCTGTATCACAGATTTTACAAGCCATTTGGTCTTTGCAAAGTTCACCTCTTGTAATGTATTCGTAATGTTGGGAAGCTGGATGGGTAGGAAGGGCGTGTATATGTAAAGAAGACATTGTGTAATCCTGTATTGGTTCCCAGACAGCCATGATATTATTATTTATATATATATATATATATATATATATATATATATATATATATATATTTTTTTTTTTTTTTTTTTTTTAATTATTATAATTATTGGGGCAAAAATGTATTTAGTCAGCCACCAATTGTGCAAGTTCTCCCACTTAAAAAGATGAGAGAGGCCTGTAGTTGGCATCATAGGTAGACCTCAACTATGAGAGACAAAATGAGAACAAAAATCCAGACAATCACATTGGCTGATCTGGAAAGAATTTATTTGCAATGTGATTGTCTGGATTTGTTTTCTCATTTTGTCTCTCATAGTTGAGGTCTACCTATGATGCCAATTACAGGCCTCTCTCATCTTTTTAAGTGGCAGAACTTGCACAATTGGTGGCTGACTAAATACTTTTTTGCCCCACTGTGTGTGTGTGTGTGTGTATATATATATATATGTGTGTGTGTGTGTGTGTGTGTGTGTGTATATATATATATATATATATATATATATATATATATATATATATATATATATGTGTGTGCTAAAGTCTTTATCCCCACGCCAAGTCATAATTGCCTCACATTTTGGGGTTGATTTACTGAAGCAAATGGACTACAAGGGAATTTTCCCCAGAGCTTAGTGAATGAGGGAAAATTCTGTTGACTTCCTTGTCCAATCATGTGCAGGCAAAAAAAATATTTTTTTTTTTCCCCATTTTCCTTTCACGTGTTTGGATCTTCCTTACAGATTGAAAATTCCCCACATTCACTAAATGCAAAGTGCAACTACCCTTGCAAAGTGAACAGTCTATTTGCCTTTATTAAATCAATCAATTGTTTGCAGGTGCCGCTATAGGAATTAAAAGTTCTCGAACATGTTCCTTCAAAAAACAGTGATAATGAGCCACATAAATATTAATTAAAAAAAAAAGTAAAATTATGTGTGCAAAAACCCAAATTGTGATCTGAAAATGAATCTTCTAAATAAATCCAAAAGGTCACTAAAAATCATCCAGTGTCCAAAAATTCTATTTCTTTTATGTAGTGAACTGTCCAAAGATATGCGTAGTCATACACAGTTCTTCCTTGTTCCCATATTGCCTCGAAATAAAAAAATAAACATAGTGCATTATCCTTTATAACTTAATATGCCTACATAATAGGAGTCAGTGAAGCGATTGACTTCTGTCAAGCAGAGATGGACAAACGCTGATTGAAATTCATCCGGTCTCTGCTTAACCAGCCGAATTTTGATCCGTGTTCAGGCAGCTTAACACCGATGAGAGAATGTGACAAGATGAGCAGCAAGAGAAACTGCGGGTAGGGGGAGGTTTTAGAACAGGGAAGTTGTGATTTAATAAATCCTGAGAAAAGGAGGTGATGGACAGTTTAAATGGTACCCACATACATTATTCGTGTGGCTTGTGTTTTCCCAGCAAACTAACAGATTTCACCATCCACACAAAATAGATGGAGGAATTCCCTCAGCCGGGACATTGTATTCTGAGAGCGGCATCTGCCGTCAGCGTATACTGATCAGCAGCTGCAGCCATTGATTGAGGGAAATCTTCCAACATGCTCCCTGTCGAGCAGAGACAGCTACACACTGATTGAAATTTAGCCAGTCCCTGCTGAACCGCTAAAATTTTGATCAGTGTATGGCCAACTCAACAGTGCTGTGTACCGATCGGGAGAAAAAAAAATCCAAAAAGCACAATATTGTGAAAGAGATAGCGAGGCTAAAGCATGAATGGGGGACAGGAAAGGAACTAACACTGTGTGAGCAATGTACTGGGGAGAAAGGGAAAATACAATGATGAGACAGGTGATTAGGGAGATCAGAGCGATCGGAGGAAAGAGAGGCGCAAAACTAGCAGAGATCAAGTGAGATGAAGAAAAGGTGTATATGACAGGAAATGAATAATGCTAATGGTAGGATAAACGGCAAAAAGATCCAGGGAACAAGGCCTATAAAAAGAACCATCAGGGCTCTCAGTTGAGCTGCATTTTTACCGCCTCCTAACTGCTCCTACTTTAGTTGAAGAGGAAATGGCCGGGTTTGCAATAGTTTGTGCTGTGGCAGGAATTATATCCCCTGTTACTTCAAGTCACTTTCAAGTGAATGGGGCTGTTCTGCAAAGCACCTCACAACTCTGTGAAATGCGCTCGGTGGTGGTGCACTTGTTCAGTATTTAAAGTATAAGTTCACCTTTTGGACAAAAAAAATAACAAATGCACATTTTTTTTTTACAGGTAAAAAAATGTGCATTTAATATTTTTGTCCAAAGGAGCCTGGAAAGCATTGCACCAGCGATCAGTAGATGGCCAATGCCATGCATGTCTCCTGCAGACCTGTCAGAATATCTGCTTGCCGTACAGGGATGTACGGGGTGTAGGGCATGTATGGGGGTGTAGGGCATGTATGGGGGTGTAGGGCATGTATGGGGGTGTAGGGCATGTATAGGGGTGTAGGACATGTAAGGGGTGTAGGGCATGTAGAGGGTGTAGGGCATGTACGGGGATGTGGGGCATGTACTGGGTGTAGGGCATGAATAGGGGTGTAGGACATGTAAGGGGTGTAGGGCATGTACAGGGTGTAGGGCATGTACAGGGATGTAGAGAATGTAGGGGGGTGTAGGGCAATGTAGGGGGGTGTAGGGCAATGTACGGGGGGTGTAGGGCAATGTACGGGGGGTGTAGGGCATGTACGGGGGGTGTAGGGCATGTACGCGGATGTAGGGCAATGTACTGGGTGTAGGGCATGTACGGGGGTGTAGGGCATGTACGGACAAGCAGATACTGAGCAGGCGCGGCTACAGCTTTGGAAGCATGTTACATGTTCCACCCTAGCAGATATTCAGCGGGCGTGGCTGCGGCTATGGGAGCATATTACATGTTCCACCCTTGCAGATATTCAGCAGCTGCGGCTATGGGAGCATATTACATGTTCCACCCTAGCAGATTTTCAGCAGCTGCGGCTATGGGAGCATTTTACTTGTTCCACCCTAAAAAATGGGTGGAAAATGTAACGTGTTCCCACAGGTGACTGTAGCCTTTTAAGAGGTGAAAGCAGGTAGCGAGGAGGTCATATGCTTGTCAAAGGCTCTTTGAGGAGCAATATGAATGTGGATCACTCTTTAGAGACCAAAGCAAGTGTAAATGAGCCCTTGAAAGAGACAGATACCAACTCGAAGACTTTGACTGTGCAACTGATTTGAAAAAACACTACATGAATAGGTCACGGGTGTCAAACTGGTGGCCCTCCAACTGTTGCCACACTACAAGTCCCATGAGGCATTGCAAGATTGACAGTTACAAGCATGACTCCCAAAGGCAGAGGCATGATGGGACTTGTATTTCCGCAACAGCTGGAGGGTCACCAGTTTGACATCCCTGGTATAGGTGATACATATCAGTCACAATCACTCAATGAGATTAAACTTCTCTTTCATACCCACTCTAATATTAAACATGCATATAGTTCCCAGTACCTGACTCTGTTTGCTTTTACCAGGCTTGGTGGGTCCAGCCCCCTTGGGCTCCCGCTGGACCTGCCTTCTGCTGGACCTTCAGTACATCCTGTCTGTGTATCTGAGCCGCAAGTACAGTCACCTGAGGAGCGTCAAGTTGTGCTCAAGTCTGCTAGTGAAGAATCTGATGACCAGTGACCTGATCTTTCAGCCCGGTAATGTCCCCAGGTCATACTATGTCTTCCATCTGTGAGCGTATTCTGCAGGGTGGCTGATTTCACAAGGCAGAGGGAACGGTGACAATGTACTAAATGTAGGGGATTCGCTGATTCTGGGTGTTGATTATTCTGTACTGCTAATCATCATGGCTCTTCCCTAATCCACATATCATTGGAGAATTATTTCCAGCCTTTCATACAGCTGTTCCTTTTGGCTAAGTATTTCTTGTCATTCCAGACCTATCTTTCATGGAAGCACGACATTCCAAAACTCTACCACAGGGGGTCGCCGCAATGCCTCGAGAGATGGCGTTTCCAGTACCCAAAGGAGAGAAATGGCACGACTTATATGACTTCATACGGTGAGGAATAAAAGGCTTCTTAACATTCCTGTGACTTGACTCAATGTTAGTTTACCAATTGCCCTCCAGAGGATTCCCACCACTTCCTGACCAGGCCATTTTTTGCGTTATGGCGCTGCGGTACTTTAACTGACAATTGCGCGGTCATGCAACGCTGCACCCAAATGGAATTTGCGTCCTTTCTTCCCCCCCCCACAAATAGAGCTTTCTTTCGGTAGTATTTGATCGCCTGTGCCGTTTTTTTTTTTTTTTTTTTTCTTCGTTTTTTTTTTTTGCCCCATAAACAAAAAAAGACTGACAATTTTGAGAAAAAAAAACAATATTTTTGACTTTTTGCTATTAAACATGTCCAATAAAAAAAAAAAAAAAAAAAATTAAAACCAATGTTGTCATAAATTTAGGGCAAAATGTATTCTGCTACAAGTCTTTGCTAAAAGAAAAAAAAAATCCCAAAACATGTAAATTTATTGGTTTACATAAAAGTTCTAGCGTCTACAAATGGCGGTATATAGACTGAAAATTTTGGTTTTTGTTCACTAGTAATGGCGGCAATCAGTGACTTATAGCTGGACTGCGGCGGGCATTCCGACACTGGGGGGGACTGGCTTGGTGTCACTGACATCCCCAGTGACACCAATACAGTGATCAGTGCTAATAAAAAGCACTGACACTGTACTAATGGCACTGGGCAGGAAGGGATTAACATGTGGGGTGATCAAAGGGTTAACTGTGTGCTGTTTCACTGTGTGCTGTGTTTGTGCTTTCAACTGTTAGCACACTGCTTTTTATGGCTCTGCTATGCAGAGCCATACAAAGCAGTGTGCAGGAGCTGACAGGGGAGAGATCTGTATTGTGTACATACAGTTCTCTCCCCCGTTGGTAATACTCGGCAATTACCGGCCAGGACCCGGCGATTGACAGCCTAGGCCACGAATGTTGGCGCGGGTTGGGCGACATGTATGTATGTATGCAGGCCAAAAAGAGGCAGCTTCCTTGACTGGAAAATATAGAAGGGTTTAGTACCGTTTTTAACTATATCTTCCAGCTGCCATAGTCTCACATAGACTGTCTGTCAGAAGTTTGATGTTAATCGATCATTTCATTATTTGAAGTAAACTTGCCGTGGCATAGAAACTGATACCAGTACTGCTAATGGTCTGCCACACCAGTGATGGTCTATCAGTTGATCCTCTTGTTCTTGTGGGCCCTTCAGATCACAGGTTCAGGCTGTGCACAAGGCCTTGACATCTACTCTAGCTGGTACTGAGCCCAGACTCCTGCCATTCCACTGTCCAGAACGTCTACTGGCCTCTAAAGCTCAAGCATTTGATGGCTGATAGCTAGGGTGGGACTTGGTTCCAGTAGGCATGATGCCTGCTTTAGGTCAAGGCCCTGTGTAGGGCTTGATTTAGGCTCTAAGGGGCTCCAAATGGACAATAGCAGCCTTTCTCCACCTTTTTTACCCCAGAGGAACCCTTGATAAAATGTTTTGGTCTCAGAGAACCAGTGATAAAATCATTTTATTGGGAGACAGTGGGGAAAAAAAATGCCCCTCACGTTTGGTGGTCAGTGGAAAGAATGTACCTCTTACAGCGGTGGTCAGAATACCACCCATACCGACAACTAAAAGATCATTAGTATCACGCCACTGGCTCTCTCAAGTGAAATTGGACACGGAAATGTCCTGGCATCGTCTAATGGGAGGTCAATCTGCCACACCAACCTCTGTAGGACATATAGGGTTCCAGAGAAGCCAGTATGTGAATGGTTGGTTGTTCTAAAGAATAACCCCGGTGCACATTTACAACATATGCTGCCTAGGACACTCTTTAAGGCCATGATGACCATAACGGCTAATGGAACCTCTGCTGGATCTGTGATTGGAATGAGTCCAGAACACAGAGTTAATGATTGCCTATTGTCACTAATGTCATTATGGATACAGGTGGAATAAAATGGCTGTAGTTTAGAAGCCTAAACTCTTTGTTTTCCTTTAGATTTCCTTCAGATGGCTATAAGCTGCCATATGACTCCATTCAGAAAGGACAGACTGTTTCTGCAGCCCCCGGTGAGATGTGCAGCTCTTATCTGTCTGCCATTTTATAACAGAAAATCCTAATACTGCCTCCAAAATCTCTGCTGAGACTCTCACGCTGACCGTATTGTTTTCTATAACCCTAGGTGCCCCCCTACCTCACGGTCCTGTCCGCGAATACCCACGTTCCGTCACTGTCAGTAAACCAGTGCAGGACAGAGTGTCCCTCATCCAGCAGATCACCACCCCCAGACCGGTGAGCACAAATTCTGGTTCCATCTTGTCTCACTATATTCCCTGTTTCTACTTACCTCATTATCCTTTCCTTAGCTTCCTCGGGGGAATCCTCTTCGTGTAGACTCCATCCCGGAGAGGTACCTATCTGTGCGAGGAAAGAGCACCGAGGACCAGGACTCGGAGAGCACAGCGGCAGAGGAGGACGATGGAGGAATCCATGTTTACGCACACAAGGGCAGCAACCTCTCTATCGTCAGGCACAACAAGGACTCTGAGCAAGTGAGTTGCACCCAATAGTCTAAGCTCCTGTGATATCATTGTGAAGTGTGGGCAGCACAGTGGCTAAATGGTTAGTTCTTCCGCCTGGCAGTACTAGGGTCGTTGGTTTGAATCCCAACCACGGCACCTCCTGCCTGGAGTTTGCACGTTCTCCCTGTGCCTGCGTGGGTTTCCTCCGGGTACTCCGGTTTCCTCCCACACTCCAAAGACATGCTGGTTGGTTAATTGGATCCTGTCTAAATTGGCCCTAGTATGTGGATGTGAGTTAGGGACCTTAGATTGTATGCCCCTTGAGGGTTATGGACTGATGTGAATGTACAATATAGCGATTGTAAGCTTGAAAGAGCAGGGCCCTCGATCCCCTCATGTTTTGCATTGTATTGGTATTGTTCTGTCACATGTTCTGTCCCCCTTTGTAATGTACAGCGCTGAGCGAACTATTGGCGCTTTATAAATGCTGTATAATAATAATATATGTAAAGCGCTGCGTAAATTGACAGCACTGAAATAAATAAATAGAATAAACAATAAAAATATATGAGATATCCCCAAGATTCTCATTCCAAACTTCTTGGCTAACGAATAATAGCAGTTGAGACATTAACAATAATTTTACAAGAATTTCAGTTTCTGCATTTTACCAAAGAGACTCAAGTTTGCTGTTTTTATTTCCCAACATAAATTGCATGCAAGTGTTCACTCTTTATTATATGCACCTAAAGGGATCCTATTTTAAGGAAGGCTTCGCACTGCCATGGAGTGGTTCTTCTGCACGGGTGGGATAGCTGTGCTCTCCCATAGACTTCTGTGGTTTAGGTGCAGTCTCAGAAAGTGCACCAAAAGATGCAACATGCAGGAGTTTTAACCACTTGGCCTCCATATGATTTACCCCCATCCCTGACCAGGCCGTCTTTTGCATTACGGTGCTGCGTTACTTTAACTGACAATTGCGCCGTCATGCAACGTTGCTTCCAAATGAAATTTATGTCCTTTTTTTTCCACAAATAGCTTTCTTTCAGTGATATTTGATTGCCTGTGCGGTTTTTTGGGTTTTTTTGGGGGGGGACAAAAAAACAAAAATAGGGACAATTTGTGAGAAAAAAAAACAATATTTTCAACTAAGCTATTAAAAACATGTCCAGCAAAAAGGATTTAAAAAATCAAATTTAGTCATAAATTTAGGGTAAAATCCCAATACATCGGAGCAGAAGGGACCCCCTTCGAAACGCGTCGGTGTACTTTGAGGGTCTACCCCTACAATGTGACTTGCACAGGCTCTACACTCCTAAAGTTCCTTTGAGGACTTATGTGCTTGATTTACTTCGTTGTTTGTATAATTCTCAATTTAATAAAATTATGGTTTACTGAGGTAATGCGCAAGGTTGGTGCGCTTTCTTTTTTGTTTCACTTTGCAGTACTGGTCGGGCTTCCCCAGCCTTGTTTAGAGCTGCACAACCTTCTATGCATTGGTGGTCGAATTTTTCAAGTTCTGTTTCCATCCATCCACCCTTCTTCTGGGTTATAGAGCGCAGGAGAGGTTGTTTCTGTTTCTACTGGGTATGATCATACAGATAGGGAGGGGCAAGAATTGGGTGCCTCTCCTCAAAATATAATCGGATAAAAAAAAAAAAAAATTTTAAATAAAAATTTAGCTTTAACCTTTTTGGGTTTTGAAATGAAAGTGCACACTTGTCTATATCCTATTGCCCATAAAAGGTTGTGTGGTTTGCCTATATCTTAATTAATTCATTCATTCATTTCAGGTACTTATATAGCGACGTCAGTTTACACAGCACTTTACATATATATTGTACATTTCACACCAGTCCCTAACCCTCAAGGGGTGTACAATCTAAGGTCCCTAACCCTCAAGGGGTGTACAATCTAAGGTCCCTAACCCTCAAGGGGTGTACAATCTAAGGCCCCTAACTCACATTCATACATACACATACTAGGGCCAATTTAGACAGGAGCCAATTAACCTACCAGCATGTCTTTGGAGTGTTGGAGGAAACAGGAATACCCGGAGGAAACCCACGCAGGCACAGGGAGAACATGCAAACTCCAGGCAGGTGGTGCCGTGGTTGGGATTCGAACCAATGACCTCTAGTACTGCCAGGTGGAAGTGCTAACCATTTAGCCACTGTGCTGCCGTTAAGATCTTAAGATTTTTAAACTCCAGATACATTATGTAACCGCTTATTCTTTTCCACCACCCAGGTGATCTACACCTCCTCTCACAGACCTGTCCCCTTATCTTCAGGAACAGAGGGAAAGGTGTGTCCCTGCTGCAGTTACATCCACCGCTTCATAGCTGTTGTGACTATAAAGTTAGATTTGGCACACAACTTTTTTTTTGCAAATTGTAACTTATTTACTTTTTCTTTCTAGAAACTTCTTCCAGATCCTATCCTGAAACTGAGAAAAATCGTTGGTTTTGGGGGCTGCACAGAACGCTTCGTAAGTGTTGTCTGTGGGGTTTTTTCTTTTCTTTATTTTAAATCATACGTTAGCTTTGTAGTATTTCTTCTTTATTCTGAGCACTGTTAAGCCTTAATATTATGTTGTTTCTAATCTCAGAATTATTTGCTGTATCCTGTCCTTCAAACTTTGCTCACGCCTCTATACACACACCCCCTGCACTTTCCTTCATATGCAGTTAGTGTATCCCAGAATCCTCTGCTGTATACTGGTTCCAGCCCTCAACATGCCACTGTGCTATCCTTCTTAACCACTTCCTGTCCGGACACTTTCACCCCCTTCCTGCCCAGGCCAATTTTCAGCTTTCAGCGCTATCACATTTTGAATGACAACTGCGCAGTCATGCAACACTGTACCCATATGAATTTTTTTGCATTTTTTTGAGACAGATAAAGCTTTATTTTGGTGGTATTTATTCACCGCTGGGATTTTTATTTTTTTGCTATGTAAATAAAAAAGTACAAAAATTTTGAAAAAAGTTTTTCTTATAAAATTTTGCAAATAAATAGTATTTCATCATAAATCTTGGCCAAAATTTATTCCGTTTATATTTTTAGTAAAAAAAAAAAAAATAACCCAAATTAGTTTACAGTATAACCGAAAATTATAATTTTTAATCTTATTTAAATTTTTTGATATTTTTTATTATTTATTTTTTTTTTACATATTGTCACCCTAGCAGTACAGTGTCACCATGGTGACACTGTACTACTTGTGGGGGGTGATGAAGATTTTTTTTTTTACACTGATTGCTTTTACACCCATAAAGGCTGTAAAAGTAATCATTTCTCCTTCTCTTTAGCTGCATTCTTGCAGCCATTGAGAACTACTGAGTGAGCTGTGATTGGTCACAGCTTGTCACATGGTACAAAGCTGTTGTGAATAGCCCTGTACCATGTGTCCTCTGTGATCATTCACAGATTTCAAACGTAGTAAGCAATGATGTCAGAAGTGACATCTTGCTTACTACTCTGGCCAATCAGTGATCACATGCAATCAGTGATCACATGATTGGGACCTCGTACAGAGGTCCCGTCCGACGATCAGTGTTCCACTGTGTCCGGAGGACAAAGCGGGCACCGGATCACGGTGCTGCGCGCTCCCAGGGAGCGTGCACAAGCAGTGTACGGGGAGGCCGTTTATAAATGGCTACCCGACCCTGCACTGCCACCGTCTGGCTGTTTATATACAATGGCTGGACGGGAGGTGGTTAAACATAGCCGGTATCCCAAAATCATCAGCTGAATTCTTTTCTTCCAACGTTGCTCATCCTTCTGTCAATAAGATCATCTCAGCTATCCTTATTATAAATCTCTATTGTCCCAGAATCCTCTGCTGTATACTGTCTGTGCAACCTTGCTCATGCTTCTATCAAAAGGACCTCCTCTGATGTCCTTCTAATACATCCCCTGTGTCCCAGAGACACAAACACACACGTACCTCAGTTTACGAATTTAATGCGTTCTCCGGGACGCTTTACAAAAATACGTAAACCCTAACGCAGTTTTCCATACGAATGCATTGAAAACCAATTAATCTGTTCTAGAGGTCAGAAAAAAGTTTAAAAAAAAGTCGCTGTCACTATATGTCAGTGCCGATTTTTAAATGTAATTACCAGCCTTTTTTTTTTTTTTTTTTTTTTTTTTTTCTTCACTATAGCTCAGAAAATCAGCTGTCACTTTCCCCCCGAGCTAAAAGAAACAAAGTTTCCTTGTAGTTTTATTTCTGGAGTTAAAAGAAACAATGTTTCCTTTTTAATTTGTTTCCTGAGATAAAAGAAACAAAGTATCCTTTAGCTCCAGGGAAAGTGACAGCTAATTCTTTGAGCTATTGTGAAGAAGAAAAAAAAGCCGGAAATTGCATTTAAAAATCGGCACCGACATACACTTCATATTGCGTAAAAAATTGGTAAACCGAGGCATTATTTCAATGGATTTTCATTCGTAAACCGAAAATTACGTTAACCGAGGCGTTCGGAAACCGAGGTACACCTGTGTTCTCTATCACCGAATTATTTGTAGTATCCTTCATGCTTTTTTTTTTTTCTTTGGGTGATTCATTTTGTGTACCTTTTTATAATATATGGTAACTTTACATTTGTGTGCTGTGTCCCTTGTGTATTGCTCCTGTATCCGAACATCCTTTTGTTTTCATATATTTCCCTTTTTATCACATCCCGCTTATACGAGGGTTCTTCAATAGGTTTCCGCACTTTAACATGTATATGTATAAAAGTGCGGAAACGTTTTGAAGACCCTCGTATCTAATCCCCAAATTCTGTGTCTTTCAGGCTCTCTGGACTCACACTGGCTGTTCTGTTGTCTATCCTTGCCATGCCGTTATTGTGGTTTTCAATGTGGAAAGTGGAGAGCAGCGGTTTTTCTTGGGACACACGGACAAGGTTTGTTACTCTACCAGCTTTCCTGACTATACCATGTCCTAAGACAGTGGTCTCCAAACTGCGGCCCTGGGGCCAGATGCAGCCCTTTGCCTGCCTCTGTTTGCCCCTTGGGACACTATTCCTGCGGCTGACACCAATGATGAGGCATCATTCCTTCCACTGACACCATTAATGGGGGAATATTCATCCTACTGACACCATCAATGGGGCAGTAATCCTCCTATTGATACCAACCATGGCGCACTATTCCTCCCTGATAAAACCAACAGCGGGGCACTATTTCTCCTGTTAAAACCAATGATTGGGCATTGTTTACTCCCACTGATGCTGGGACATTTTCTACTCACAGTCTAGACCCCCTAAAGCCTGAAGGACTATAAACTGGCCCTTTTGTTTAAAAAGTTTGGAGACCTTTGTCCTAAGACCAAGCCTGACACAAGCTTGTTGAAAGCTACAGCCAGATCTGCCTTTAAGATCAAGTCGTAGAGTTCTGAACTATGAACTGAATGATTTGTAAAACAGTAAGGGTTGTATTTTTGTATTTGAAGTGAGATTGTTGAACTGTCTATAAAGATGCAAATGGTGCTCAGCTCTCCTGTCCTTGCAGGTGTCAGCACTGGCGTTTAGTGGAAACTGTACCCTCTTGGCCTCTGCTCAGACTGGCACGCTCAGTATGGTGCGCCTCTGGCACTTTCAGAAAGGAAGTTGTCTCGCCATGTTCAAAACTCACGCTCATTCGGTGTCATACCTCAGGTGAGAATTGTGTACCCCTGCTTAGAACTTTTATTCCCTAGGTGTGTGGGGGGGTTTTTTTTTTTCTTAACCACTTCAAGTCCGGACACTTTCACTCCCTTCCTGTCCAGGCCAATTTTCAGCTTTCAGTGCTATCACACTTTGTCAATTGTGCGGTCATGCAACACTGTACCCATATGAATTTGTTAGCATTTATTTTGAGACAGATAAAACTTTATTTTGGTTGTATTTATTCACCACTGGCATTTTTTTATTTTTTTTTGCTATATAAATGAAAAAGTCCAAACATTTTGAAAAGAAAGTGTTTTCCTTATAAAATTTTGCAAATAAATAATCTTTCTTCATAAATCTTGGCCAAAATGTATTCAGCTATCTTTTTAGTAAAAAAATAAATAAATAACCCAAATTAGTTTATAACCAAAAATTATAATTTTTCAAAAGGGGTTTTTTTTTGTTTTTTATATTATTAATGTTTTTTTGTTGTTTTTTTTTTTTTACTTACTGTCACCCTAGCAGTACAGTGTCACCATAGTGACACTGTACTACTTGTGGGGGGTGATGAAGATTCTTTTTTTACACTGATTGCTTTTACACCCAAAAAGGCTGTAAAAGCAATAATTTCTCCTTCTCCCTGACTGCAGTCCTGCAGCCATTGAGAAATACTGTATGAGCTGTGATTGTTCACAGCTTGTCACATGGTTCAAGGCTGTTGTGAATAGCCCTGTACCATGTGATCTCTGTGATCATTCACAGTTTTCACACGTAGTAAGCAATGGTGTCAGAAGTGACATCTTGCTTACTACTATTCATGTGATCACTGATTGGCCAATCAGTGATCACATGATCTGGACCTCACACAAAGGTCCCGTAAAACGATCAGTTTGCGGTGCTGCACACTCCCAGGGAGCGTGCACAAGCTGGGAGTGGGGAGGATGTTTATAAATGGCCTCCCACTCCTGCACTGCTCCCGACCGGCCATTTATGTACATGGGCTGGACGGGAAGTGGTTAATAATTAAGAACTAGTATGTCAGGATGAAAGGAAACTTATGAAATTGCCGTAACAGTGTGAAATGGTAATAGACCAGCTACAGACAATACGCCTTGTTATATTTTATGCGAAATTCACAATGTAATTGAACTTTAATATATTTTGCAGTTTCTCACACAGTGGCTCTGTCCTGTGCGGAGTTGGGAAGGATGGACATGGCAAAACGGTGAGTTGTGTAATCGTTCACATATTTTAGCCTGGCCAAGCCATAGGCATCCAATAGATGATTCAATTTTCTTTCCTTCCACCATGGATAGAAGGAAAGAAAATCACTCTATTTTTCCCCATCAACACAGTCCATCTTGATGGGGAAAAGCCTCCCACTGCACTGTTGTGTTCTTCTGCCTCTTGTCTGGGCTTCCACTCACAGGACTCTCACCTCTAAAATCTATTATCAATGATGACATCGGTGTCTCTTCAGCTCCGATAGGCTGCTGCTGCCGTCTTCTGTCAGTCTATATATTCGCTTCTGGTCAATGTAATATAAAAATTCAAATTGTATTGTCATTCTACTTTGTATCACAAGCATGCTGGCTTGGTGTAACCCTTAAAGTGATTCTAAAGCCTTTTGGGTTTTTCTTAAGAAAAAAATAACAAATATGCCTGCACTTACCTGCTGTGTGTAGGGGTTTTGCACAGAGCGGCCCAGATCCTCCTCCTTCTGAGGTCTCCCGTGGGCTCTCCTGGCCCCTCTCTCCTGTCAGGTGCCCCCACAGCAAGCAGCTTGCTAAGGGGGCACCCGCTGCTCCGTGTGTCCATTCACTCAGGGAACTGCGGCACAGCCCCGCTCCTCTATCTTCTATTTGGCTTACTGACTGTGATTGACAGCAGAGGGAGCCAATGAGAAGAGGGAGTCCCAGGATAGCAGAGACTATCGAGATCGAGAGGGGGGCTTAGGTGAGTATTAGGGGGATCTGCTGCACACAGAAGGTTTTTTTTCTACCTTGAAGGTAAAAAGCCTTGAGCCTTTAGAACTACTTTAAAGCGGAGCTCCACCCAAAAGGGAAGTTCCGCCTTAAGGACTGCTCCCTATTAAGGATTGGCACCTTTTGGGGGGGGGGAGCGGGTACCTGAATTTGTCAGGTACCCGCTCCCATTTCCAGCCTGATCGACTAGGCGATCAGAAACGGAAGGTGTCCTCCCTCTCTGTAGTCTTTTGGGACACGTGACAGGTCCCAGAAGACTACAGGACCATTCATGAAGCGCAGGGCTACTCACGCATGTGCATTGAGTACCCGGCTGTGAAGCTGTCACAGCCGGGTGCCCACACTGAAGATGCCAACCTCCTGGAGTACATGACGGCCAATGAAACGGGCTGTGGGGGACACACCGCGGGACCGAGGGAGGTAAGTGGCTGTTTTTTAAAAGACAGCAGCTGCAGTTTTTGTAGCTGCTGACTTTATTTTTTGACAGGTGAGCGGAACTCCATTTTAACTAATTCCTTTTCTTCACCAACCCCACCCCCCCTCACGGTGGTCATAGAAGCCTCTCAGAGATCTCTGGTCTGGGAGACCTTTTTAGAATTGAGGACATTGTCATATCTGTTGGATTTAAGTTGCCTTGATCCATTCTATCCTTTTTTTGTGACTGGTTGAAAGTGGTTTACTAATTCCAAAAAATTGCTGCATTCACAATTAAATGGAAGATTTATGGATGGTGGTCAGTTGAATGGGAGGTGTGGGCCATTTGTGGCTGTCATTTATGAGTGGAGCTTGGATAGATGCGTGTCATTCTAAATAAAGGGTGATGATCATTCTATCTACAATGCCTTTCTTCTCTGCACTCCTCTACAGATGGTGGTGGTTTGGAACACTTCCCAGGCCAGTCGGGGAGGGGAAGTTGTGGTCCTTGCAAAGGCCCATACAGATGTGGACATCCAGACGATGAAGATCGCATTCTTTGATGATACCAGGTAAATGTAATAAAATGTACAGTAAGGAATGAAGAGGAATAAAAGCAGAAATAGTATAATCTCTATCAGACTGGATACCCAATACCTGGATTTTCATACTCCTGGGGCCCGCTAACACTACGATCTGCATGTGAATGGCACAGGAGCTGCACATTGTTCCTGTACAGTTCTGTGCAGTGCGATTTCAGCCCTAATCATCTTGAATGGGAGGAAATCGCACCACACCAGTGCATGCACTACTTTTTGAAAAAGCACAGCAACCGCATCGTATGTACTTTTGTACCATGTGATCTGGTATGGGCAGACACATGGGGTGTCGTTAACTTTGAATTGACCCCCACAGCAGATCGCAAGGGCAATGCCATTGGAATGTGGTGCGGGAAGCCGCATGGGACCGCGGCTCTCCCGTACTTCACTCTAGGCCCTTAATGCCACTTTTCTGTTATAGCAGTAAAGCAGTCTGTCCTATATATAACTGAGCAGTCTAATGGGCATCAGAGTTTGAGCGCGCTGCCCAGCGTACTCCGTTATATATCACCCTGGTGGGGCACACCCCTTCTCTCTGCTTTTGAAAGACTGTGTGAGGACACTTGGCCATTACTTATCTGTGCCATCATAGCACACTGGAGTGGGAGGGCAGGAAGTATTTCCACTAAGGGAAAAGATATTTTAATGCGTTACTAAACCCACAGCAGTAAAATCAGTCTGTAGATGCAGTAAAGCGTGCTTGTTATACTCACTGTGGAATATAGTGAATGTGGGGGATATAGTGGAGAGCGGATATAGTGAATACGGGGTCAGGGGAGAGCGGATATAGTGAATGGGGGGTCCAGGGAGAGCGGATATAGTGAATGGGGGGTCCTGAGAGAGCGGATCTAGTGAATGGGGGGTCCTGAGAGAGCGGATCTAGTGAATGGGGGGTCCTGGGAGAGCGGATCTAGTGAATGGGGGGTCCTGGGAGAGCGGATATAGTGAATGGGGGGTCCTGGGAGAGCGGATATAGTGAATGGGGGGTCCAGGGAGAGCGGATATAGTGAATGGGGGGTCCAGGGAGAGCGGATATAGTGAATGGGGGGTCCTGAGAGAGCGGATCTAGTGAATGGGGGGTCCTGGGAGAGCGGATATAGTGAATGGGGGGTCCTGGGAGAGCGGATATAGTGAATGCGGGGTCCGGGGAGAGAGGATATAGTGAATGCGGGGTCCGGGGAGAGAGGATATAGTGAATGCGGGGTCCGGGGAGAGCGGATATAGTGAATGCGGGGTCCGGGGAGAGAGGATATAGTGAATGCGGGGTCCGGGGAGAGCGGATATAGTGAATGCGGGGTCCGGGGAGACCGGATATAGTGAATGCAGGGTCCGGGGAGAGCGGATATAGTGAATGGGGGGTCCGGGGAGAGCGAATATAGTGAATGGGGGGTCCGGGGAGAGCGGATATAGTGAATGCAGGGTCCGGGGAGAGCGAATATAGTGAATGGGGGGTCAGGGGAGAGCGGATATAGTGAATGCAGGGTCCGGGGAGAGCTGATATAGTGAATGGGGGTCCGGGGAGAGCGGATATAGTGAATGGGGTGTTCGGGGACAGCGGATATAGTGAATGCAGGGTCCGGGGACAGCGGATATAGTGAATGCGGGGTCCGGGGAGAGCGGATATAGTGAATGCGGGGTCCGGGGAGAGCGGATATAGTGAATGCGGGGTCCGGGGAGAGCGGATATAGTGAATGCAGGGTCCGGGGAGAGCGGATATAGTGAATGCGGGGTCCGGGGAGAGCGGATATAGTGAATGCGGGGGTCCGGGGAGAGCGGATATAGTGAATGCGGGGTCCGGGGAGAGCGGATATAGTGAATGCGGGGTCCGGGGAGACCAGATATAATGTGGGGTTTTTTTTTTGTTTCTTTTTTTTTATTTCTTGTTGCTAGGCAGATTTAAAATGCATAAAAAAACACAATACATGCTTTTCTGCAGCATTCTCATTGAAGTCTATAGCACCAAAAATGCGTTCAAAAAATTCCCTGACCCTTTTCAAAAAAGACGCGTAGTTGTGAACCTCTCCCATAGGAAATAATATTAAATGGACTGTACTGCGTTTCTGCAAAACGCGTCAGAAAAAAACACTTTGGTGTGAACCTGGGGTTAGGCTTTTTCAAGCAACTTTTACTTTTGACTTTAAAGACTGAACTGCACTGGCATGAAAATACCAAAAATCGTTGTAGCCACTGACTTTAGAGGACATATAGATGTTGGCACCAATCACAAATTCTACAAAAGCATGAGATTTAAGCTGGACTGGTATTCTGTATTGTAACCAAAATTGCTCTCTGCAGGATGGTATCATGTGGTAAGGACAATGTTCGTTTGTGGAGGGTTCGCAGTGGTTCGCTGCGGTCATGCCCAGTAAATTTGGGTGAGTATTACACCCTAGAGTTTACGGATTTGGCGTTTGAGGCTGTCCACAGTCCTGAGAGAGAGCCGGAGGACCGGACGCTGTAAGTAATGCTGACTACAAGACATGCAATCACTAAACGTCTATGATGTCCGCTCTTGTTGCTCCAAATTCTTCTTTTCCTATGTCCCCTCAGTTATGTGTGCAGCCGCAGTGGCCACATCCTAGAAGTAGACTACAAGAACATGGTGTTGTGCAATGTGCGACGCCTGCAGCCAACCCAAATCAAACACGCCGAGAGGCGGGAGAAGCAGACTTTCAACACTGGTGAGTTCATCATGATATGTTAACAAAGCAGCATAGCATAGGGTGGAAATATACATTGTCCAGGTTCAGACTCCTACAAATTGCTGCCATTTTTGTAATCTGGGGCGTTGTGGGCAAATTTGATTTAAAGAAACACTATTCAGGGTAAATGACAAAATATGGGGGAACATGTGTGTCTACAGCCCGGCTCAGGAGCATGCACACATGGGTACCTCCTTGTATGTGTGTCTACAGCCCGTCTCAGGAGCATGCACACATGGGTGCCTCCTTGTATGTGTGTCTATAGCCCGGCTCAGGAGCATGCACACATGGGTGCCTCCTTGTATGTGTGTCTATAGCCCGGCTCAGGAGCATGCACACATGGGTGCCTCCCTTGTATGTGTGTCTACAGCCCGTCTCAGGAGCATGCACACATGGGTGCCTCCTTGTATGTGTGTCTATAGCCCGGCTCAGGAGCATGCAGACATGGGTGCCTCCTTCTTGTGTGTCTACAGCCCAGCTCAGGAGCATGCACGCATGGGTGCCTCCCTTGTATGTGTGTCTACAGCCCGGCTCAGGAGCATGCACGCATGGGTGCCTCCTTGTATGTGTGTCTACAGCCCGGCTCAGGAGCATGCACACATGGGTGCCTCCTTGTATGTGTGTCTACAGCCCGGCTCAGGAGCATGCACGCATGGGTGCCTCCTTTGTATGTGTGTCTACAGCCCGGCTCAGGAGCATGCACGCATGGGTGCCTCCTTGTATGTGTGTCTACAGCCCGGCTCAGGAGCATGCACGCATGGGTGCCTCCTTGTATGTGTGTCTACAGCCCGGCTCAGGAGCATGCACGCATGGGTGCCTCCTTGTATGTGTGTCTACAGCCCGGCTCAGGAGCATGCACGCATGGGTGCCTCCTTGTATGTGTGTCTACAGCCCGGCTCAGGAGCATGCACGCATGGGTGCCTCCTTTGTATGTGTGTCTACAGCCCGGCTCAGGAGCATGCACGCATGGGTGCCTCCTTGTATGTGTGTCTACAGCCCGGCTCAGGAGCATGCACGCATGGGTGCCTCCTTGTATGTGTGTCTACAGCCCGGCTCAGTAGCATGCACACATGGGTGCCTCCTTGTGTGTATGTCTACAGCCCGTCTCAGGAGCATGCACACATGGGTGCCTCCCTTGTATGTGTGTTTACAGCCTGTCTCAGGAGCATGCATACATGGGTGCCTCCCTTGTATGTGTGTCTACAGCCCCGGCTCAGGAGCATGCACGCATGGGTGCCTCCCTTGTATGTGTGTCTACAGCATGTCTCAGGAGCATGCACACATGGGTGCCTCCTTGTATGTGTGTCTACAGCCTGTCTCAGGAGCATGCACGCATGGGTGCCTCCCTTGTATGTGTGTCTACAGCCCGGCTCAGGAGCATGCACGCATGGGTGCCTCCCTTGTATGTGTGTCTACAGCCCCGGCTCAGGAGCATGCACACATGGGTGCCTCCTTGTATGTGTGTCTACAGCCCGTCTCAGGAGCATGCACACATGGGTGCCTCCTTGTATGTGTGTCTACAGCCCGGCTCAGTAGCATGCACACATGGGTGCCTCCTTGTATGTGTGTCTACAGCCCGGCTCAGTAGCATGCACACATGGGTGCCTCCTTGTATGTGTGTCTACAGCTCGGCTCAGGAGCATGCACACATGGGTGCCTCCTTGTATGTGTGTCTACAGCCTGGCTCAGGAGCATGCACACATGGGTGCCTCCTTAACAACTGACCTGCTGCACAAGGCATCCAGAGAATGGAATAGAGGACAGTGCCAGAGGGGGACTGCAAGAAGAATAAAAGAGGGTGCTTTCTGTGCAATGTGGTTGCACAGAGCAGACAAGTATTCGCTCACTCTTATTTTGTTTTTTTTTTTTCTGCTTCCTGGTATGTCATGTACCTAGGCACCCCTGCTCTGTATTCTCATAGCTGTATACAGTATCTGCAGGTTAAGATCCAAGACTGCCACTTCTGACTGCTAGTCTCAGCAGATATAAATGAGATTTGGTAATATCACCACTATGTTACTTGCTGTTTTTGCTGGAGGTTCTGACATGAGGAAGCAAAAGCCCTGTCTCTACCAAGACAGCTGCCTCCAACACGGGAGACACCGTGCAGAACAAGGCATAGTTAGTCAGTAATGGGGAAAGATCAGCTTTACAGAGAGCACAGGCAATACTGGTGACTAGTCCTTTTCCCTACCTGCCTTTTTGTTTGGGATTGATATGACCGGACACTAATACAAGGTCAGGGTATAAGGTTTTGGCACAGTGTACAGTGGCATACTGGAAGCAGATCCTGAGATGCTCAGATCAGATTATCTAGTTTCCTAAAAAAGCAGTGATCATGTTATTCATCGTTTATGCCTATGTCTGTAATATTTCATTTATGTTCTTGAAGGTTCCGGCATTGCCATAAACAGCCTCTCCATTTCTTCCACCTACTGTGCAACTGGATCTGAAGATGGCTACTTGCGTCTGTGGCCCTTAGACTTTTCAGGGGTTTTCCTAGAGGCAGGTGAGTTGCTTCAGCAGATGTCTGGATTAAAGGGCCAGCACCTCCGTGGATGTCCATGCACACTGTTAAAGAGATGCATATACAGTCAGGTCCATAAATATTGGGACATCAACACAATTCTAACATTTTTGGCTCTATACACCACCACAATGGATTTGAAATGAAACAAGATGTGCTTTAACTGCAGACTGTCAGCTTTAATTTGAGGGTATTTACATCCAAATCAGATGAACGGTGTAGGAATTACAACAGTTTGCATATGTGCCTCCCACTTGTTAAGGGACCAAAAGTAATGGGACAGAATAATAATCATAAATCAAACTTTCACTTTTAATACTTGGTTGCAAATCCTTTGCAGTCAATTACAGCCTGAAGTCTGGAACGCATAGACATCACCAGACGCTGGGTTTCATCCCTGGTGATGCTCTGCCAGGCCTCTACTGCAACTGTCTTCAGTTCCTGCTTGTTCTTGGGGCATTTTCCCTTCAGTTTTGTCTTCAGCAAGTGAAATGCATGCTCAATCGGATTCAGGTCAGGTGATTGACTTGGCCATTGCAGAACATTCCACTTCTTTCCCTTAAAAAACTCTTTGGTTGCTTTTGCAGTCTGCTTTGGGTCATTGTCCATCTGCACTGTGAAGCGTCCAATGAGTTGTGAAGCATTTGGCTGAATATGAGCAGATAATATTCCCGAAACACTTTACAATTCATCCGGCTGCTTCTGTCAGCAGTCACATCATCAATAAATACAAGAGAAGCAGTTCCATTGGCAGCCATACATGCCCACGCCATGACACTACCACCACCATGCTTCACTGATGATGTGGTATGCTTAGGATCATGAGCAGTTCCTTTCCTTCTCCATACTCTTCTCTTCCCATCACTCTGGTACAAGTTGATGTCGGTCTCATCTGTCCATAGGATGTTGTTCCAGAACTGTGAAGGCTTTTTTACATGTCGTTTGGCAAACTCTAATCTGGCCTTCCTGTTTTTGAGGCTCACCAATGGTTTCCATCTTGTGGTGAACCCTCTGTATTCACTCTGGTGAAGTCTTCTCTTGATTGTTGACTTTGACACACATACACCTACCTCCTGGAGAGTGTTCTTGATCTGGCCAACTGTTTTGAACGGTGTTTTCTTCAGCAGGGAAAGAATTCTTCGCTCATCCACCACAGTTGTTTTCCATGGTCTTCCTGGTCTTTTGGTGTTGCTGAGCTCACCGGTGCGTTCCTTCTTTTTAAGAATGTTCCAAACAGTTGTTTTGGCCACGCCTAATGTTTTTGCTATCTCTCTGATGGGTTTGTTTTGTTTTTTCAGCCTAATGATGGCTTGCTTCACTGATAGTGACAGCTCTTTGGATCTCATCTTGAGAGTTGACAGCAACAGATTCAAAATGCAAATAGCACACTTGAAATGAACTCTGGACCTTTTATCTGCTCATTGTAATTGGGATAATGAGGGAATAACACACACCTGGCCATGGAACAGCTGAGAAGCCAATTGTCCCATTACTTTTGGTCCCTTAACAAGTGGGAGGCACATATGCAAACTGTTGTAATTCCTACACCGTTCACCTGATTTGGATGTAAATACCCTCAAATTAAAGCTGGCAGTCTGCAGTTAAAGCACATCTCGTTCGTTTCATTTCAAATCCATTGTGGTGGTGTATAGAGCAAAAAATGTTAGAATTGTGTCGATGTCCCAATATTTATGGACCTGACTGTATCTCAGCAAAAGTGATGGTAGTGAGAAATCTGCCTGTCCCTGAACCTGCCATGATCCAGTCATATTGTGAACACACACATTTAATTGCTTTTCTTCCTCTTTTTATGTGAAAGGGGTCAGGTGTGTCATTTGATAACATTCATTTTTTTTTGTTTACAAATGGTTTTATTTTGCAAAAGTAGACTGTAAAACAACAGTACATTTTCAAATGATACAGCAAAAACAAGGCACTTTTGAAAAATACAGAAAGTATATTAACATAAGAAAGAGAGGAAATAGAAAAGAATAGATTGCAAGTACATGAAATATGTAGACCATAAAGTAGGCTGAATGATACATCTGTCAACAGTATATGCCAGTCAACCTTCACTTGGAATGTTGTTAATCATGCAATAAATGTCTACAATCCCTCCATGATTCCCATTTTTTTATCAAATAAGTGCATCCCATCCAGTAAGGTATAATGAATACGTTCCATGAGCATCACAGCATCAACTCTGTGTAAAACAGAGGCCAGGGGTACAGCACTGGACTTCCAATGTAAGGCAATAGCCCATAAAGTGGCAATACAAATATTATGTATCAGTCTCATAGTGGCATCAGAGACCCCTGGGATATGAGCCCCCAATAAACAGGTCTGTATAGACAATCGTTCCGGGGTACCTGTCAGTGGATAACATTCATTTTTTGACCATTGGAAGTGATTTTCTCATAATCTAGCAATCTGTGTGCTGATGTGATCAGAGCCCACCTGGTCCCTGAATGCTCCTATGGTCTAAGCCAGTGTTTCTCAACCTTTTTTCAGTCCAGGCACCCTTCATAATTATGGATAATCTCAAGGCACCCTTTAAAAGTCTACACTCTCAAGGCACCCCAATCTAAAATGTAAAAAAACTATTTTACACACACACAGTACACCCAACATTAGAGGTGATTTATTCTTCCAAAGCAAATACACCTTTGCACACTGGTACTGAGTAGTATTCCAGTGTGTCTCTCTCATTTTCTCTCCCTCACTCTGCTAATGTGACCTCAGTGCTGATGGAGAGGGGTAGGGGAGGGCCAAACAAGGATGACGTGCATGCACCCAACGTCCTCCTTAACAACTGATGATGTCATTGGCTGTTAGGATGCTGGCAGCTAGAAGGTCATAAAAGTGCACAATGAAAACCTGTGGCTTTGTGTACTAAAAAGCAGGATTGATCCACCTGCTTGGCTTGTATACAATTTTTGGGCATTATGCCAAGGCACCCCTGAAGAAGCCTGAAGACGTCCTCCTTAACAACTGATGATGTCATTGGTTGTTAGGATACTGGCAGCTAGAAGGTCATAAAAGTGCACAATGAAAACCTGTGGCTTTGTGTACTAAAAAGCAGGATTGATCCACCTGCTTGGCTTGTATACAATTTTTGGGAATTATGCAAAGGCACCTCTGAAGAAGCCTGAAGACATCCTCCTAACAACTGATGATGTCATTGGTTGTTAGGATGCTGGCAGCTAGAAGGTCATAAAAGTGCACAATGAAAACCTGTGGCTTTGTGTATTAAAAAGCAGGATTGATCCACCTGCTTGGCTTGTATACAATTTTTGGGCATTATGCCAAGGCATCCCTGAAGAAGCCTGAAGGCACCCCAGGGTGCCTGGGCACCCTGGTTGAGAAAGGCTAGTCTAAGCCCACCTTGTCTCTGCATCCTGATGTTGTCTGTGCTCATCTGGTCTCTGTGTAATCTCTATGCTGAACAGGTCTGAGCCCACGTGGTCTCTGCATCCTGATGTTGTCTGTGCTCATCTGGTCTCTGTGTAATCTCTATGCTGAACAGGTCTGAGCCCACGTGGTCTCTGCATCCTGATGTTGTCTGTGCTCACCTGGTCTCTGTGTAATCTCTATGCTGAACAGGTCTGAGCCCACGTGGTCTCTGCATCCTGATGTTGTCTGTGCTCACCTGGTCTTGTGTAATCTCTATGCTGAACAGGTCTGAGCCCACGTGGTCTCTGCATCCTGATGTTGTCTGTGCTCACCTGGTCTCTGTGTAATCTCTATGCTGAACAGGTCCGAGCCCACGTGGTCTCTGCATGCTGATCTGTATTGCTTTTTTTTTAGAACACGAAGGTCCTGTGAGCTGTGTAACCATCAGTCCGGAGGGTCTCCGTGTATTGTCCTGCACTAGAAGCGGCGAGCTCGGGGTCCTAGACGTTCCCACCCGTGGATACCAAACTTTAATGAGATCTCACACAGAGTCCCTTTTGGCCTTCTCCACCCACCCAACTAACCGCCAGCTTGCCACCGTGTCCACGGACAACACAATACGAATCTGGGACATGTCTTCTCTGCAACAGGTGAGATGATGGCATCCTGACAAGTTCTCTCATATACATAGGTCCACATTTTATGTGACAGTGTGGTAAACTGTATTGAGCCTTAAAGGGTCATTCTACTGAAAATGGATATTTTAGTCCTTCGTAGATTCTGCTGGGCAGAATCACCTCTATATCCCTTGTAGATTCCAGCCCTGGAATATCCTCTTGGATCTTCAAGTTCTGTCCTGCTGTAGCCAAGTATTGAATTTTTTAGCCATAATGCAAAGTGGAGGGTGGAGCTGAGATTGTGGGTACAGAGATTGTGGGTACAGAGCACGTGGGTACAGAGATTGTGGGTACAGAGCACGTGGGTATAGAGATTGTGGGTACAGAGATTGTGGGTACAGAGCACGTGGGTATAGAGATTGTGGGTACAGAGCACGTGGGTATAGAGATCTTGCCTCTGTGTTCCCCAGTGATCAAAATGATAGAAGAAGCTGATGCTTCATCCCAATGCCATCCCCATAAAGCTTTGCTGTTCTCTTTTAGAAGCAGAAATATCTATCTGTCTTGTCCGGTAATTAATAGATTGCATCTAAGAAAATAGTTGCTTCTATTACAGGATAAGTTTCTACATTTTTTTTTTTTTTCAGCTTTATGACTTCACAGCCAATGAGGAGACTCCATGCACTGTAACCTTTCACCCCATCCGGCAGGCCCTGGCCTGTGGCTTCAGCACTGGGGTTGTCAGATATTTCGATGTCACAACAACAAGTCTGAAGGCAGAACACAAGTAAGACTCTCGTCTGTGATTATATTCAGTTTTTCTGATCTGGCACGTTGTGTGAGTCTGATGGATTATTATCTCTCCTA